AATATATGTATTTAAAGCCACAGAGTGGCTGCAAAAATGGGCTCAAAAATAGCAATGATTGTGAGGATGGCACAGGACTGGGCAGTGTTTCATTCCGTTGTACACAGGGTCGCTAAGAGTCGCAACCAACTCAACAGCACTCAACCAACCATGCACGATTTTTAGTTGCATCCCACACATTTGAATATGTTATGTTCTTATTATTCAGTTCAAAAGATTTTCTAATTTCCATTGTAATTTCTTCTTTGACCCAAATGTTATTTGAAAGTGTATTTCTTGATTTCTAAACATACAATGATTTTCTGATTATCTTTTTGTTAATGATTTCTAACTTAATTGCACAGTGGTCAGAGAACATACTGTATAGGATCTGATCCTCTGAAATTTGTTGTGACTTATTTTCTGGCCCAACATACAGTATTTTTGTAAATTTTCGATGTGTACTTGAAAAGAATGTGGATTCTGTCATTCTTGGTTCAGGTGTTCTATACATGTCCATTAGGTCAAGTTTCTTATTGCATAGTTCAAAACATCTATATCTTTATTGATTTTTTTTGGTCTGTCTATTCTGTTTGTGACTGAGACATGTGTGTTAAAGTCTCCTAAGGTGACTGTGGATTTTTCAATTTTTGTTTTTAGTTCTGTCAATTTTTGTTGTTTTATCTCTTTGAGGCTATGTTATTTGGTACATGAAAATTTAGAATGATTATATTTTCCTGATGAACTGAACCTTTTGTCATTAAAAAGTGTCTTTCTTTGGCATCTTTAATCCACTTTTTAACAAGTGGTGTCAAGAAAACCAGACACCTGTAAATAAACCAAACCTATTGCTATTGAATCGATTCTGACTCATAGCGACCCTATAGCCATGTGGAAAAAGATAACATCGGATCCATTCTTCATTTATCCAGGATAAATTCTAAGTAGATCAAGGATTCAAATATAAACAGAGAAATCATATATGTATTAGAAGAAAACTTGGGTAAGTTACTTTGCAGCTTAAGAGGAAGGAAAGCTTTCCTAACTCTGACTCCAGACTAGAAGCAACCAGAGAAAGGATTTATAAATTTGATTTTATTAAACAAACAAAACAGTGCTTTTTTTCATAGCAAAAAAGCCATGAGCAAAGTAAAAAGACAGTGACAAACCACAAAAAATATTTTCAGCTTACATCACAAAGAGTTAATAGTGCCAATATATAAAGAGCTTCTAAAATGAACATGGCTTTTAAACATATGAAGAGGTGCTCACCTTTGCTCTTAATAAGAGAAATAAAGATTAAAACTACCCATTTCTCAACTCCAGATTAGTAAAAATTCAAAATTTTAGCAATAGACTCTGTTGACAAGGCTCTGGGGAACTGTTATCCACTGTTGGTACTCTTATCTACAGCAGGCACGCTTATCCACTGTTGGTAGGGATACAAAATGGAACAACCTATATGGAGGGGAATTTGAGAGTATATAGCAAAATTAACTATGCAATTACATTTTGACCTAGCAATCCCACTTCTAGGAACCTATAACAAAGGCACACTGGCAAAAATATGTTTTATATACGTATAAGGCTATTAATTAAGCACGATTTTTAATAGCAAAAGACCAGATACAGTCTCAGTGGTAGAGGACTGGTCAAATAAACTACGGAGGTATCAGAGAAATAAGGTCCATCTTTATATACTACATAATGATTCCCAGGGTGTAGTAAGCAAAAGGAGCCCTGGTGGCGCAGCGGTTAAGAGCCTGGCTGCTAACCAAAAGGTCGGCAGTTGGAATCTACCAGCCACTCCCTGGAAATCCTGTGGGGCAGTTCTACTCTCTCCTTTAGGGTTGCTGTGAGTCAGAATTGACTTGATGGCAATGGGTTTGGCTTTTTTTTTTCGTAGTAAGCAAAAACGCAAGGGGGATACAATTGTGTATAACATGCTACCATTTATCTAAGATAAGGAAGAATACAAATAAATGCACATATTTACTTCCATTAAAAAGCCATAGAAGAATAAATCATAAAACTGAAAAAAGTTTAACCTATAGGGAGAGGAAAGATAGAGAGTGAGGGGGACAGAAAAGCTACATTTATTTAAATATAACTTGTTTTGTATATTTGATTTGGAACCATGTAGATATTTTATATAATTATAAAAAAAATTAACATTTAAAAAATACAGTTATCTCTAGAAATTGAATGTAAAATAAATGAACTTAACTATGCATTCATTTGGTGGTGTAAGCACACAGTGTAACTATCCCAAGTAATTTGAGATATACCTGAAGTGAGATATGCCCTAAGGACAAAAACAAACAACAAAAAGCCTGTTTTTGGTAATTGTACTTTTATCCTAAGATTGTGTTTGTATTGTGGGATAAATGAGTTATGTTGAAGTCACTGAGACTTGAGATTTTTGGCATGATTAAAAGGATATCAATGTAAGATCTCTGATAAGATTAAATGAAAACCTGTATTCCTAAATTTGTATTTTTAGGATCAGTATGAACTAATGAGATATTTTATCTTGAAATATACATACACACATACATACCTACATATATATGGGGGTATATATATTGATATATGCATATATATTTATGACACACACACACATATATGCGCGTGTGTGAATTTCCTAGCTCTATGCTAAAAAGACCTCGAATCAACAACAAACCCAGCAGCAGTGAGCATCTCTAATGCCCAGATTGTGACCTCTAAATATCATTACCTACCAAAAGGAACTAGGGCTTTTCTGAGAAATGGCTGATTCAATGTTTGGGGCACAAAATGTACACATTGAGACCGGACCATCTTGTCACACCAGAAAGCAAGGAAGCTATCAAAGATTGCTAGGGTCATGTCAAAAGAACTCAGAAGCCAACCTGAATAAGTGCCACTGCTCAAAGGTGGGACATTTTGAACATCAGGAAAGATAATAACTACCATGGATTGAAACACATCAAGTATACTGAAACCCATGACTTTATAATGGTATTACTAAAATAAACAGACAAAACTCAGTACCTTTTGGAGGATGCCCAGGCAAGAAACAACATATATATTTTGAAAACTGGTAATAACCAAGAATTTATCATGCCCTTCCTTTTATGAAGGAGCCCTGGTGGCACAGTCATTAAAGCATTCGACAGCTAACCTACAAGGTCGCTATGAGTAGAAATCGACTCGGCAGCAGTGGGTTTTGGGTTTTCCATTTATAATCTGAGTAGCTAAAAAAATGATAAGGGAAAGCTTCTCTTTATAGAAAATTTCCAGCGAATAAAGAAATAATGATGGAATTAAAATATCACCATTTTGCAGCCCACATGAATGAATGGATTTAGGCACTGATCATCAAAGACTGCTAACATCACAGAGAAACAACCAGGTGTTATGTACATTGTGATGGAAGTACATAACACCACCTTTGAATTAGTCTTGCCTAATAATAATAATAATAATAATAATAATAATAATAATAGTAACAATACCAGAATCTTATTAAGCCTCTAGCTCTAACCACTAATTTACAGGAAAAACAGGGCACAGAGGAACAAGCATTATGAGAAAAATAGGGAAATATAAATGTTGACTGGAAAATGGGTGATACTGAAAAATTATTGTTCTCTTAGTTATGTGTGATGATGGTAGAGTGGTTATTTTTTAAGTGCTTCTCTTTTAGAGATACATATTGAAATATTTACAGAGGAAACAATACAATGTCTGGGATTTATTTCAAAATAATCTGGGAATGTGGAGTGGATGGTGATATAGGTGATACAAGGTTAGACATACATTGATAATTGTTGAAGCTAGGTGGTAGGTACATCTGATTCATTATACTAGTCTTTATTTTTGTAAGTGTGTTTGAAAGTTTTCAAAAGAAAAATTAAAAAAAATCACCCCAGACATCTTCCTTTTTCTCTAATTCTTGCCTTGAAGTCTATTTTGTTATTAAAATAGCTATACTGGCTTTCATTTGGTTAGTGCTTATACAGTATGGTTTTTCCATCTTTTGACTTTCAGTCTTTCTGTATATGTACATTTAAGGGCTATCTTTTGTACAGTTGAGTTTTTAATATTTTTATCAACTTTAAAAATCTTTATCTCTTAATTGGAATATTTGGTCTGTTTACATTTAATGTAATTACTGATTTGTTGTTGTTGTGTTCATTTTGACTCATAGTGACCATAGAGGACAGAGTAGAACTACCCCATAAGGTTTCCAAGCCTGTAATCTTTACAGAAGCAGACTGCCACATCTTTCTGCCATGGAGCGGCTGGTGGGTTCCAATCTACCGACCTTTTGGTTAGCAGCCAAGCATCTAACCACTACGCTACCAGGGCTCCTTAATTACTGATATATTTGGGTTTAAATGTCTGTTGTAACATTTACTTTCTATTTGTTCCATCTGTTCCATGTCTTCATTTCTTTTCCTGCCTTCTATACTCATTTTCTATTGTTTCAGTAGTTACCCTAGGGATTACAATATGAATCCTTGATTTACCAAAGTCTAATGTAAGTTGGTACTTTTACCTTTTCCCAGACAATTCAAGGACCTTGAAACACTTTAACTCCATTTATCCTCTTGTAACTTACATGCTACCATTGTCATGTATTTTAATTCTATATATGTTTAAATCTCAAGACACATCATTATTGTCTTATAAGTTAATATCCATTTACATTTACCCACATTTTTATATGTTCTTTGCTCTTCATTTTTTTATGAATTGCTAAGCTTCCTTCTGAGATAATTTTCCTTCTCCCTGAAGAACATTCCTTGGGTGGCAACACCCTGTGACTATACTAAGCCACAAAGAAAACTATGGCATTTATGTAAGTATGAGTGATTATGAAAATCAGAATCAACTATTATTAGCTTTCCACAGAGAGAGAAAAGGTTTCTTTAAAAAGATTCTTATTTTCATTCGTGTGTCAATATTTTCACTTGCCTACCTGATTATACCAATCTTGAAGACATTTAATTTTAATTAATGAGTTGACAACTTACTTTGATGAACTACGGCATAGGCTCATCCATACTGCTATAATCACCAGACCAAACAGCTCCCTGTAAAAATATCATACATTTTATGTTTTTAAGCAGCTGCAAGTGAGATACACATCATAGTCTACCCATGCTCACTTAATTCCATTGTCTGTTTGGATGATTTTCTCTAAGATATAAATCACCTACAGAATATTTTCAAGTCTGGCCATGATTCATAAATTACTTTATTCAGACAGTTTAAGGTCTTATATGAATACAAATTTCATCTTATGAGACAGATATGAGATACATGACTGTTTCCCAGCTTAGAAGTGAGGAAAAATAAAAAACACAGATAAATCACTTTGGGTCACTGGGAGAAACAGTACAACCAAGAAAACAATTCTAAATTTGATCAGTCATTATTTTTGCCATTATTTTGATGGTTCAGTGTTAGGATAAGGTCAAATCAATAAATAATTTGGGCACCTATTGTAGGAGATTAGGTCACTTCTTAGTGGGAAGGAATGATTTGTAGTATGAGTCAGACTAGTGATTTTGGGGTGAGTATACTCTTCTTATATATATGGGTCATAGGCACATATCTTTTACATAGTGAAGAACAATCATATTCAGCCATGGTACCACTGGAAGCCCCACACTGAGTTCACCACATCTCATGGGCTCCTGGCTTGAGGTGATTCATCCCATCTGGTTTACATTCCCATTTACAGGACCAACCTGATTTGCTCTCCATTTTTATAGGGATTTGGGCCTAAATGAAATAGCACCTCTTCAGTGATGCTTAACTTTTAGATCTCTGAATCTTAGATGCTGGCAGGCGTTAGCAATAGGATAGAAAGGAAAGGGACTATTAGTGAGGCCAGGGAGGATGCAAAGGAAGAGGCAGTAGGAAAAAGGTGATAAAATAGGAACAAATGGTCATGACGAAGGGAGATGACATGAGACATTCCAGGGCAAGGCTGACAGAGGTTGACTTGAAATACCTCTGAGGTGGCTCATCACACTGATAAATGATTTCAGCTTGAACCAGAACTGAATCAGAATGCTTACAGCATTATAATCTTACCAGATTAGACTAGGTATTACTGTATCTCATCCTTGCTAGTCATAAGGTGGCCAAAGTCCATCTACGTAATAGTAATATAATGTAATATGTAATAACTAGTTATTACCTGTAGTAGTAGTAATGGAGTATAATGGACACTTCCAGGTTTGAGTCCTGACTTTATCATTTTCTCAGTTTCTTCAGCTTATAAAGGGGAAAATACATTCCCTCCTCCTTATGGTATAGTTGGGGAGTTTAATCATCATTGTGCACAGATAAGATGGTGTTGTAAAACAATAGAAAGTTTCTCAGTTCTGCACCCTTCCAAAAGAGCAAGAGTCACTGCTCACCTGCCTTCTTCCTCGTGTAAGATGTTCTGTCGTGTATGAAGTAAGAGGTAGTATCCCAAGCCAAGAGCCCACATGATACAAAATAATATGTGTATTGCAGAGATGCTCTTCCAAATAAAGTTGCCTGAAAGGGAGAATGAAGAAAACAAGACACAAGGGAAAGATCAGTCTAAAGGACTAATGGATCACAACTACCACAGCCTCCACCAGACTGAGTCCAGTACAGCTAGATGGTGCCTGGCTACCACCGCTGACTGCT